CGTGACACTACAAAAGACGATAAACATCTCAAAATAATTTCACAGTAGCATCCACCGACGCATAACATAAATCAACACTATTCCTTGTAGAAATATCTCAGTAGATGTGATCTGCACATCATGGAAGCTTCGAAGTTTGAATCATCTTTCCTTTGTGAAACAGGGTACTCATAAATATGCGGCAGGTTTTCTGTTTAGCATATGAGACAAATCTTCTGCAACACTGCCTTCTCGCGTTATTATACAACCTCTAGTTCTTTTCAATGCTTTGAAAATTGTGCTATATCAGGAGCCACATGCAGTCTTTGACTGTCTATTTTTTTTGCGATGTCCGTTTTGGCGCGAAACCACATCGTTTTACCAGCTGATATACATGCTTGAAGATATTCACAACAGTAGTTTTTGATAACATGCTTTTGTTGAATTCGGTTTCCGCTTTTCTGTTCCGGTCCTCGCCGTATTTCTTCATTAAGGAACAACTGAGATTTGCTTGCCTTCAAACTTCTACTTTTGATAAGTTTCTAACCCGTAGCATGGTTATTATTTCGTATCCTCTACACGTAGGAGACACGAGCGATACGTATGATAAAATTGCGTCCAAGGAATTTTTCAGCTTGCATGTTATTTCACTGATTAAAATTGCAATTCATAAACGAAGAGAGAATTAAACCTATAGTTTTCAAGGACAGCTCATTTGAATGAGCATAGAAGCTAGAGGTGCAATGGAAAGATGGAAAGTGAGAAATGATGAATGAGAAATGGACAATGGAGAATAAGAAACGGAGAATGGGAATAGAAACGAGAATAAGGAATGAGGAATGGGAAATGGAAAACGAGGAATGGGGAATAGGGTATGGCGAAAGGGGAATAGAGAATAACGAATAAGGAATAGGGAATAGGAAATAGGGAATAGGGAATGGAAAATAGGGAATAGGGAATGGAAAATAGGAAACAGGGAATAGGGAATGGGGAATGGGGAGTAAAAATGAATAAATGGAAAGGGGAATGGGAAATGGGAAAAATGAAATGGGAAACTTAAAATGGGAAATGATTTTTTTGGAAATTTTATGTTTATTATGCGAATAAAAATTAATTCAGTGGCCTTCATCGATATCCACGCTTTCGTTCAAAAAACGTGGAGAGGCAAAATTTAAGGAACGGAATAAACTGATGATAAAAAGAAGTGATACATGGCAACTAAAGAATGTTGCAAAACCAAATTTTATTCGTTTCATGACCAAGTGATAGGTTGAATCAAATTTTCTGAAATTGATGAAGGGGCTATTTGAGTGTTTTATCAATAAATTGTAATTTTCAAAGGAGTTAGCCCAATTGAATTTTTCAGAGTCCAAGTCTCTATCAACTCCGTACGACAATCCGAATTCACAGATGGATATCTATGGGGAAAAAGTTTTCGTTTTTCATTTCATTTTTCGCAAAATGGAGGCTATTTTGTTTATTATCCTTCAAATATTTTTGCAAATTACGGTAAAAAAAGTGTTTACAAAAAGTTAACTGCTTAATGTATGGGATGTTCACTTTTCAGTTTTCTCTAGTACGATTTTATGAACAAACAAACATGTCCCGCTCTTTTACAACAACCACAAAACGCTCTCTCTCCTTAAATTGACTTTGAACGGAGACTTATCGTAATGAACGTAGAGCTTGAAATCAGGGAATATTGCATGGAACATATCCTCGATTATAATCCATCAAATATTTTGCTCGCTCGCGACTGGTCCAAACGCGTCACATTAACAAATATTCCCTTTTAAAACCGGGGAATATCCGAGGATATTTTGCCACTGAACGTTTTTGAAAGAGAACACGGATATCGATGAAAAATATATGTTCCTCATTATAAACAGTAAATCTTAAAAAAAAAAAAATTTGAAAATTTTTTTTCAAATTTTTTTTATTTTATTTTCCCATTCCCCATTCCCCATCTCCTATTCCTCACTCTCCATTCCTCATTCCTCATTCACCATTTCCTATTCTCCATTCCCTATTCCCCATTCCTTATTTTCCATTTCCCATTCCCCATTCCCCATTCCACATTTCCTATTTCTCGTTTCCCATTCCTCGTTTCCCATTCCTCGTTTCCCATTCCTCATTTCCCATTCTTCATTCAAGACGTTCTGGTTTTGTCTGAGTCAGATCTGAGAGCGATGACACGCATGCAAACCTATCTAATCTTTTGTTCACCAGTAGCAATCTATCATTCTTTGACTGGTTAGACTCGGGCGTTTTTTTTTTCCACTAGTCCGAAGGTGGCATGTGTGACTGAATATTTCGGTATGTTTGGCCAGATCGCTCTGGATCATGCGACCTTCTCTCGCGACCTGTTGAGCCGCGCTGGTTCCCAGTCTGCGGGTCTCAATGCGCATGCACGAAATCTGAGCATGAACTTCGAAGGTGCGTTTGCTAGAAAAAGGTGACATACAGCGAGTGTAGCCTATTTTACTCGGTATAAGAGGTAAGAGAACGACAGATTGCGTCTTCAACTAGCTACCAGTTTTCCTACGGTTTCTTTTCCTTCATTTTTAATCCTATGGTGAAGACCATCGAGAAAATCATTGTTTCCTTCACTTACATCTGTTTATTACATGCTCACTTTGAAACCAACTGCTCAAGCTTTCGATAAATTACAGATACATATTCGTGCACTTAGAACAGCTGCGAAAAGGGCGGTAAGATAATTTCCGAAAATGGTCGTCACGTTTGAACCAAACCGGTTTGGGCATACAAGTACTAACTACATGTCTGATTATAGAGAAACATGACTTTCATTTCTACATTTTACTTCGACACGGTCTGTGATACGCGACGGTTAAATTCACAGTTTTAGATCAAGCTTGAAACACGAACGAAAAACTATTTGAATTTAAAAACTTGGAGCAATTGTAGAATGTACCATTTGCTGAAGTGCATAGGTTATTTTAAACAAGTGTGCTTAAATCTATAAGTAGGCTTCATATTTCTAGTAGCGTTGCCAATACATCATTCTATACTTTGCGATCCACAATCGTCTGTGACTCATTATCGCGAAAGAAACGATTTAAACATCCGTTTGTCTTTTAGCCAAAGTGATGAACACGTCTTTTAAAAGATTTTGAAGGAAAGCAAATTTCACTGTAAGGGCTGAAGGCTAATCTAAAATTATCATGAGAAGTATATCTCTGTCTCTTGTGAGAGATAATTATTAGTATAGTTGACATGATAAGTTGAATTTTACTATATTTGATTCACATGTTATTTTTACATTACTTAGAGCAATTGGATAAGAATAGATCACAGGAGAGGTCAAACTGTGGGAAGAACATTAGGGACACACTTGGCTGACACCTTGTGCTATCCCCCCCTCCCTTTTTTTTGTACCACCTTTTGACATTTGTGATCTATAACAGAACTAATGAATGGAGACATTGGATTTTTATGTTAAAGTGATACCTCAGTTTTGCACTGTGTATCCTATACAAGGCTTAAAACTCATGTAATCAGGGGAATGAGTGTGTGTGCATTCTGAGAACAGGGTATTGTTTTTCAATCCAAGGACAAAGTAAATAGTGACAATAGTCTTGAGCTGTTGAACAAGCATAATGACATATTTTTTTTGGGATAATTTTGGTGTACAATTTATCCCCTTTGAATTGGGGAAATTAAAAAAAATTATTTGTAAATGGGGTAATTTTGGCCCATCATGTATCATAAACAAGTACGGTGACCTATCTTTTTTATTGTATATTTCAAAACAGACATTGGTAAGGAACATTGGAGGCAAGTTTTAAAAAATTTGCTTTGTAATTTTTTTTTCTGAAGAACCACCTTAAGTAGAGAAACTTTACATTCAGTGTCATTGCACTACATTGTTCAATCAACTTCAGCATCTTTCCTTGGCTAATATAAGTGGCAATGCCAATGGGTATCAATTACGTTTGGTGTAAAGCTAAGCCTTGCTTTTTTATCAACCACATGATGCATGTAAATAGCTTGTTTCCTTGAAATTACACTGATACAAAAGCTTCACAGATTTTGTGGGAATGACAGATACATTTGACATTTGTATATGTTGTTGAAAATTTGCCATATGATTGAAAAATGAAAAGAATGAAAATAAAGAGTCTGAGAGATATTCTAGTATTCATGTGAACTTTCTCCATTTCACTCAACCCTTTTTTTTCTTCCATTGACAAATGCTTAAACAAGACTGTTTCAGTTTAACCAGTCACTCTCAAACATGCATACATACATATACCTTTAAGTTTGTAAATTTTATCATCTGTACTCTCCTTGCTAACCTGAGTGTCTTGTAAGCTAATACACAACAGTCTTCAATGAGGCAGGATCTTTTATAGTTCTTCACCTCCCTGTTTTAAGTTAAAGAAAAAGCTAATATTGGGTACAAAGAAGTATTTGATAGCCATATATGTGCTTTGACAGGTACAATACCTTGTTGCCTAAAAATAGCCTTTAATCATGTAAGTTGGTGTGTCTTTTGAGAAGTAATGCAATTTTCCATTGATTATCAAAATGTAAATTAAGGTGAGCCGTTATGAACTCTGATTAAAAAAAACAGCCTGAAGCAAGGGAAAATGCAAGTAATGTATTAATTATATTAAGCATGCAACCTCCAGAAGGTGCAGGCATTTGTATAAGGACTATATTTTGCAAAGGTGCATGTACTTTGCATGAATGTGGTTATTTTCCATTTCAATTTTATTTCTGAATTTTATAGGACAAGTTTGTAGAAGAAAGTCTAAAGGAAAGTCTACTCTCAGACTTCAATTTTAAAAAGGAAAGATGTAAATGCAAATAATTCTTGGAAAATTTATGTACCATCTAATTTTAGAGAAGAAAATATGATCTTCACACATTCAAAATTCAACGCAGTCACTAAATTTAGTTAAAGTGGAGGTCAGTTTTCTCCTTTGTGTATTTATCATTCAACATGCTCAAAATACAAATATGCTGTTGGTTAACCAATGTTGTGTGGTACTTACCATTCTGTCAAATAGATGCATATGCCAGTCATTGTATGCATGTATTGCTTGCATATGGCCATGGATGGCTTGTAGATTGGCATGAATCAGTTGCACATTGCCATGAATTGGTTGCACATTGCCATGAATTGGTTGCACATTGCCATGAATTCCTTGCATGTTGCCATGATTTGCAGGCATGTTGTCCTGGGTTGCCAGCATATTGCCATAGGATTGAATGAAGTGCCTCTGGTTGAGAATGTATGCCAACATACTGCAGTAAAAAATCCACAAAATGAGTATGAGGGCAGTAATTTTGACCTTCCATCTGAAATGCTAAAGTTGGAATTGTGACTCCTAGTGTTATTTTCTTTGTGGAATCAACTTTTAGACTCTTCTCTTTCTCTTTCTGAACTAGATATACTGTAGCAGTCAACAATTTCATGCACATTCACACTTATGGTATTTTGCTGACCATCAAACAATATGTTTTATTAATCAATAAAAATGAACTCAAACAGGTTTGCTGGAAATTGGCTAGATAATTATTACATATGATTTACTTGTGTACATGTAGATAAACACTCCTTGTCTAATTTACTTTTGAGTTTACTTGTGAGCAATTAGAACAGAAAAAAAAGGCCTAAGAGACCTTCAGGATAATCAGCAATGGAGACATTCTCAGTATCCTCAGTTTCAAACATTAAAATTGGTGCTTCTACGATTTCTTAGTAAAACTAATGATAATGAGCCACATAGGCATAACTGGTATTGGATAATCAGTGATGTAAATATTCTTAAAATCCTCTTTCTCTTTAAGGATAGCTGGTGTTTCCAAGTATACACATGTACAGTATGAAAATTAAAGCCATGACATGCAATGCACAAGATGCTGTATTCTGACATGATTATGACAATAATTCTGATCATTTACCTTGGGTGGATATTTGGTGTATCAGCAGTTATCTGTGTAAAGGAAATTATAATTCAGAGTTGTACAAAATTATTATACCTTCTTTGATAGTTAGGTAAATGTATGGTACTCAATAGTATCAATATTTGCACTCACTTTTCTGCAAGTTTGACAGATTGGAAACCAGATGACAGACAGCTACTTTAAATGGGATCATATTGAAAATTTGGCCCAGGGAGGGATGAGAGAAGTAGTCTGTTAGTGAGGAAGGACACTGAATTTTAAGCTGGCTACTTTTTTCTGTAAAATACTGCATGATGATTTATCTACAGTTTTTTTTTCTTACCCCTAGATCCTGTATCTGATTTTGGGACAAGATGAATGTCATATCTTCTCTATAATGAAATAAACAAGAAATAGGTAAGTGTATTTGCTATGGCCTGTGTCAAGTGTAATGTCCTAGATGATGGGTGTGCAGTATGAATATTCATTGAAACTTAATACACAAGTGCGTACATAGTGACTTGATGGTGATTACAAGATCTCTAGTCACCACAGTAATTGGTCATGTACACATGTACAGGTGTAACAGTGAATTAGTATCTTTGTATGTTGGGGTCAATCATAGTCCAATAGTCTACTCTTATGTCGAACAAAAAACTTAAAGTTGTTGAGGAATCCCCTCTGCATGTCTGTATCAGCTTGATGTAAGTGTCAAATCCTGGTTAATTTTCAATGAACAAGGGTGTAAAAATTGGGATTAGAATGTTAACTGGAAAAGTGTCTACATCATGGGGGGGCTGCTCAACCCTTGAACTCCCAGAAGTGATTAATAATTAAATAACTTCTCCCCATAATATCCATAATTACATTACCCTGCAAAAAGGTGATGAGAATACTCAAACTTATCAGGGAGAAGTTGTTATTTTGATCTCACATCAAATTCTCACAAATAATTCACAGAAATGTGTAGCAGCTAGAGGGGAGAATTTACAATCAGATCTTGGGAGTTAAAGGGTTAACACAGGTCTCACTTTAAAAATTCCCACCAGGACAAACTGGGAAAAATCAATGTTTTTTTATTTTAACCTTAAGACTTGTTCATTTACAATTTACATCAGATAATCATCTCAAGTAATGATTTCAAGGTACATCTCAAAATGAAAGAACAATTATTTATTACAAGGGAAAAACCCCTTGGGGTACACAATTATGTATTTGAGCATGTGACGTACATAAAAGTCGAGAAGAGTCAATAACTTACGAATATGAGCCCATAAATCTGTTTTTGAACTGGAAAAAAAAAGAAAACAGAATGTAAGTCACCATATCTTGACACAATATAAAAGTAAGCTGATTAAACTCCCCACAGCAATGAGGTGAAGGGAAGTTAGGCTTTGATTAAAATATCAAAACTTTGTGAAACGATACATGTAAAAATAATACCAATTTAATTTTCAGTTTACTACTGCTGCTGATATGAGAATTTACATGCGTATCATTTGAGTAATTGCTTCGGCCACAGGTATCTACTACACGTCAACATGCTTGTCTTGAAATCAAGGGCTGCCATGAAAGATTTGACCTTAACCTTGCACATGGGCAATATTTGATTTTCAGGCATTTCGATTACTCTTGAGGCCCTGTATGAAGGTGTACAGGTCCCTCTTCCATGCTGTTACGAATACCTTTGATATGATTTGATTTTTTCGGTGGGAAAGAATGAACTTATGTCTTAAACGAGACCTGTATGTAGGATCTACTGCGAGGTTTTTTATTGCGGCAATGCTTTAATTCAATATATTCTCGGAATGTACAGATAAGCAAATTTCTCAAACATTGTATATGTGTTTGTGGTTTAATACCCAATTCTCTTAATTGTTGCTTCGATTTCCTCAACTGTTCAAGTACTGCTCAACCACTTAATAGCCACGTAATGGCGGCTTGGCGAAAGTTGATAAGGATGAGTTGAACATCTTAATATTTCTCTTGGCTGCGCTTTTATGCGATATAGAGTAAGCCTGTGCGATGTTGATGGTTTTAACCCAACTTTAACTACTCATTGCTCATAGTATACAATATTTCTCTAAACGTTTTTTAGAAACAAAAATAGCACTAAACACCGCCAGCTTTTCTCGCTCTACGTTGACCGTACTTCCTTACTTTCCCCTACGATCCGTAAGGCTGCAAGATGCGCGAACTACTAATGAATGGATGGTTAAAATGGAAAATTTTCTTACCTTAGCCGCGAATGAATTTAAGCTTGAGGTCGGTTTGTGTGCAAAAGTGGTTTTGGCTTGAGCGGTTTACTATGTGACTGACTAACTTTTGGAACCACGTGCACTACTCTACAATCTACTCATGATTGGTTGAGTTTTGATGGACGGTTTCCACACAAATCTGTCACAGTCCATTGAAATTATCAAAACGGCCATTAATGTGTCCGAATTTTGCTCTGTGAAACTTGCGGACAGGTGTGAAAATTATGTTTTGGCTGCCATTTAATTTTTTTTCACTATTGGATAAGCAGCGCGCAAAAAACCAAAAGACGACGCAAGAGAGGAGTAGTAGGGCACCATGTTTGTCCATATTTGGTAATGACATCATCTTACTATTGGGTAAACTAGCCGTTTATCCGAAGTAGATGGCTTTACGCGTGGTTACTCATGGGAATGACGGGGAAGCAGAGCAAACGACGCTTAGAAGTAAAATGAGCTAAATGGTCAGTTTGCGCTGTCCAATCTGTTTGGACCAAGTTAATTCTAATTAAAAAGAAAAATTGAACCAAAACCAACTGTTTGATCATTGAAAGCGACGAATTGCGGAGACTTGTTCATAGTTGAAAAATTCTTTTAGCAGACAAAATTTTACCATCCACTTTTGTGAACCTTGTCAAGCTCATCAGCCATTGATATGTTTTGAAAGGGTAGTTTCCAGGAATTTGGAGCTTGTCTTTACTGTCATGGGCAGCGGGACAATTGTGCTCGACTGAGAAATCGAGGGTATGGTTTTTGTGTACATACTTATTTGCACTGTAAATACTCAGCTCAGCCAGAACCGGTTCTTTTTAAGTTTTATCAGTCTACTTTAAAGAAGAAGCAAGTTATTTTGAACCCTTTTAAGCGAAAAACAACTGAGAAAATTCAAGAAAAGTACGAACAAATACGAATAAAAAATATGACTGCAAACCTGGACTCGGCAGCCGCCATGTTTACCAAAAGTCAAAAAGTTGATTCCAATCCTTTTACGTTTTGTCCAGGTAATTTAAGTTGATCCCCTCGCCACATTTCACGGGTATTGTTACCGGTAATTCACCCGTACCCGTCTACCGGAATTGGGGTATCTTAAGGTCTCTATTGTATCCATATTTCTTTCACCTTTACTTTTGGAGCCATGCCATGTTCTGAGGCAAGTGTGCCAAGCAATGCTGCAAAGCTCTAGAAATATATGGACAATCATCGTAATGTTTTAATTACGGAAAGTCATTGTTGGCCTTTATGTTACATAGCTCTTACTAGCTGAAGATGAAAGGAAAATAGGAACTCTTCTTAAGGATCAAATAGAAATGAAATGACCAATTATAAAGCAAGGTACCATGCACTGGCTTGTCTTGGTAAAAGCGTTGTCGTGTGTGTCAATTGATTTTACGGTTGCGTTTAGTTTATTTTTAACTTTGCTTTGTGCCGCTTGGGGTACAATTCTTTTGATTGCTTCCGTAATCCCCATGGAGGGGTAGAATCAATAAAAAACCGATATTAACACTAACAATTGACGTTTTACGGTAGCGATTTATACTTACCACGAACGATCGGTGGCAACACTGGCGATCGATATTGTTACGATTGCTGTATTTTAAAAACAACAACAGTGGTAAAGGTCGAACACCATCGATTGATACTGAAAACTACGATTGATATTTAGTGCTATCGATCTGCCTCAGAACACCAGCGATTCATAATTAGCGCATTCAATTGAAGTCCTATTGGTGAAACAGCACAAGCGATTGAAGTTCAGCACCAAAAAACTGATTTACAATTACGATTTGTTGCTAGCACTAACAATAGCGTACGTTTAGCCGTACCCTTCCCCCCACAAGGAGAAACGGTACTCCGTTACTGCTTAAGGGGGAGGGTACTGCTACACGTAGGCTACACCAACGATTTAGTTACTTCTAGAAAGACAAACAAGACGAAAATAGACTTACTATGGCTATCCCTTGTGCTTCCAGTATATGGTATGTGCAAGCAAAACATAGTGAAGAAATTCGGGGATAAGTCTAAGATATTGATTTCTCAAGAAAACGCACATATGCCATCAATCTCCGACAGCATCCCTCCTTCATCTAGTGGCGATTTCACTGAAAGAATGCGTCCACTATGTCTATAGTCAGGTCTGTACTTGTAGGTTCCTCGCCAATGCCACCTTATGCTGACTTGGCGGTGCTTGGTTTCTGTAGAGCACGTATGACATGACATGGATTTACTTTAGAGTTACTCATTGTGTCACACAGGGAGAAAATTCTACGCATCTTTAGAGACTTCCATTTCTCTTAACTTCTAAACCAATATTAAGCCTTGTTTTAGTTTCATATGTCGTGAATATGTTCGTTGTGCTTAAGGGAGGATAGACAATTTGCTTGTGGTTCAATTTACATGTACAGTGTAGCACTGTTATCTAAATATATTTTGAGTAGGAATTGTAGTGTGATGTTGTTAGACCTACAGACCTGTACTTCCGTCCCATTGTCGCCGCACTTGATCAATGCAGTTTAAAGTACACTCCGCACTGCAGAACCTGTCTCCTTAGAGTTATACTAGGGAAAATGATTTCGTGCAAGTTTCTTATTTACTTTAGACGGGGAATTTTTTTACTCTAACTAGGGAAAAGCCCAACGGAGAATGTGCAAGTCTGGGTTGGTTTTATCAAACTTGTTTATTATGTCAGTCAAGGACCAAATTTAAGATGATATTTTAAGCATGTCAAGGTGATTTTACATAACATTCGATGAAGTTCCTTTTTCACAAGGAGATTAAATTGTACGTGAAATTATGTGAAGTTTTAAATACGGTGGTTTGCTTAAGTATTTTTGTAGTAATTTTTGATAACTTCATTCGGAAACTGAAACTATATATAGGGGAACAACCTTAACAATGAGTGGGCGACTTTCTTTGTTAAAGCGAGATCTAGAATCTTCAAAATATATTTTATTATAAGGTCGTGGAAATCAACGTAGACGTACTGCTTTTTGAGCAGTTTGACCATCAATATCCGTTAATTAAGACTAGAAGAGAATTATTGACCAAAAAGCCCTTAATTTTGATGTTTATATATGCAGATATGACATGAACTGTTAATAAGATACGATTTTCATGTTTTCATGTCGGGTTTATCGGAGCGTATCGTAGGCATGACAACAAACAGAGACTGATTGAAGAGTACAGAAAAACAAAAGAAAGATATCTAGTGGCAATTGTGAACGTTTTTTGGGAATTTTCCCTGGCACAAATCCTTTTCAAGAAGTAAAGAGAAACCTGCAAGCGTAGCGTTGTTTACGCTGTGAAACTTTGAGCCTGACCTCCTTCACTAAAGTGGTATTTTTCGTCGATGACTCAGTGTCTCCTGTGACGTTCTGTGAATGTTTTCTTCGCATAACAAAGGAATGCCAACGTCTCTAAAAGGGCAAGAACTTGTGCTGCCGTTGCAGACTTGCTAGGGCTTTATGAGTGAAATGGGTTGTCAGGTATGATCCTGAGTCTTGCAGCACTTTAATTCTTTAGGTTGAACTTTCAAGAAATTAACCCTTTTTTAAGAAATTGGAATATAAACCAGATTATCGAAAATTAACGTGATTATGAATTAGGAAAGAGAAGAAAAATTATCATTCCGACCCTATTCTATAATATCGTGTGCCCAGTGCTACCGGGTCCCTTAATTATTTTCCCCACAGAAACGTGTGATGCGAACAGTTGAAAATGAAAGTTTAAAATTGTTTGTTTTTCTTTGGGTTTTTTTTTTTGTTAAATTCCATTTAAGTTGAGTGAATTTTCAAAACACCGAAGAGACAAGCCAGATGAGGTCAAGTGTGTATGGAGTGCGATATTTCTAGCTTATGATGGAAATGACAGTATGATATCACTTGACCTCGTCAGAGCATTCTGGTAGATGTAGACATCCATGTCAAGGCAAAAGAATGATAACTTTTACAATACTTTATTTGCTCAGCCTAAAGGATACACGAACGTAAACATACAATCTAATAGAATTTTATTTCAAAGTTAGGAAATTCTCAGACAAGTAG